GTGCGACCTCCGCGGCCCTGCGACGAGGGCGCCGAGCGTGGGCTTGGGCTGTCCTTGCCTCGCGTGGGCGGCGTGGGTGCAGCGGCCGCTGCCTTGTCGCGGGCCCTGGGCGAGGGCGAGCTGGGCTTCTGGCGGGGAGAGAGGCAGAGAGGGCACGGAGGGGCGGAGAGAGACGGAGACGGGCAGGGATGGGCCGGGGAGACAGAGCGCAGAGAAGTGGCGATGGAGAGATGGAGACGCGGAGAAGAGGAGACGCAGAGAGAGGAGAGCAGGGACAGCGCCAGGGAGAAGAGAAGCGAGAGGAGAGGTCGGAGGCAAACAAGACAGATCCAGAGAAAGAGCGAGAGTGGGTGAGAGAGCGGGCGGGCGGGTGGGGTCGGGGGAGAAAAGGAGAGAGGGCTTTCACCGGGCCCGGGCCGCGGGCTGCCAGTCCCGGAGCATCGCGCACACGGTTCCCCGCGCCTGCCCTGCCTCTGCCTCTCCTGAGTGTTCACTTTCTAGCCTCAACAGTGCAGCTCATGCAAAAGGTTCTCGGCATGCAAAACACAAGAGGGACGGAGCGGTGGGGTAGGGGCTGCAGGGGAGGGGGGCTCCAGGACGGGCACCGGGGCTGGCATTGCCCCCCGCGTGGGATGGACGATTCCCGGCAAAGAGAAGAGAGAGGGCGGCACCGGGAGGCCGGGCCAGGGTCAGCCCACCAGGCCAGGCCCCCCAGCGCAGGGGGGTGGGTAGAGGGGATGGAGGGGGTCACACGGCACACAGATGGGGTGAGGGCGGGGCGGGATAACTGAACTCAAAACTGAACCGAAGAAAGGGAGGAAAAAACAGAAAAGAAAAAAAAAAAAAAAAAAACCAAATCCACAAATGTCATTAGATACCAAAATCAAAAACAATGATCTTCTGGGAAACCTGACATTTTTTTCTGTTAATATTTTTCTTTCTTTGTTCTGTGGCCCTGCAGAGAGCTCTGGAGCTGTCAGTAGCACCCGACTGTCTTTCTGTTTCTCTCTTTTCTTTTTCTTTTTCTTTTTTTTCTTTTTTTTTTTTTAAGTTCTGATTTTTTTTTAAGTCCCTCTTGGTTAACGTCCACTTACCAATAAAGTGGCACTTCCTCCTTTAGTAGGTAAGGTGTGTAAGAGAAGGGAAAAGTGTGGTAGCATAAGTTCATCATTAGATTCACAAAAATGCAAGAGAGATAGAGAGAGAGAGAGAAAAACGCAACCACCCCATTCTAGGCCTGAAAGGAGGCCACGCTGCCTCTGCCTCGGGAGGGTTAGCAGAGCCCGGCTCCGGAAGCCTGAGCTGGTACCTCTTGGCTGACCACCAGATAGAGGTGCTGATATTTTTTAAATCCAAAAGTGGAGTTAGGACACAGGGATCACGATACCGAAAATCAGAAAGGGCACTTGGTACCATCCACAGGGCCCTGCCACTACCTCACCAAGGGACCCTGCCCAAGTCACTTCCCCAGTGTGGGCCTCAGTTTCCCCATCCACAAAGAGTGGGTTGGCTTTTGCTTCCTGCTGTCTCTTCTGGGGCAAATATTCCAGGATTCTCTGCATGCTCCCTGACCACCCTCCCCTTCCCTCTCCCTGCACGGAACTGACCTTCCTCCTGTCTTGGGCCCCCATCTAATAAGAGGTGATGACATTTGTTGTTTATAGTTCTGTTCCCCATCTCCCTAGTCACCACCAACTTGATTTTGATCATCTCCAGGGCAGAGCTGGTGTCTGATTCAGCTCTATAACCTCAGTTTAACATGGAACTCTTTTGTTTTTCTTTGATATGGAGTTGTGCTATGTTGTCTAAACTAACCTCAAGCTCACGATCCTCCTGCCTCAGCCTCCCAAGCAGCTAAGATTATAGGCATGCACCACTTGCCTGGCTTTAGCATAAAACTTGACACCTAGTAAGGCCTCAATACTGTTTGCTGAGGAAGAAAGAACTGCCCCAGCAGGAGCCAGGGCCAACCATGGAGTCCTAGAAGAAGCTGTTGGGGCTTGGACCAACCTCTTTTGGTGCCTCCTCAGGGCACCTTGCTGTCAGGAATGGAAGAAGCACTGTGCCCTTGGCATGGCCTCAGGTGCTCCAGTAGGGCAAGTTGTGCCCAGACCTCCACAAACCCAGTTAGAGCCTAGGCAGGAAGGTAGAGCTGGAAGTGAGCCCCATTGGTGGAAAAGCACAGGCTTGTGACTGGTGGCTGAAGCAGCCGATGAGGGCCAGCCATAGCTGGTGGAAGCCACTGTCCAAAGCTAGTGGGGCCATGAAGACCCCTCCCAGGAGAGCCCCTGCGCTTTCAGCCTGGCAGAGGCAGCAGAAGTGAGCAGGATGGATATAATCTCATGGCGAGGTGCCGTCTGAGTAGTCTTGGCATTCCTGTTCCCCGCTCACCTCTCGCTGTATGCCGGGGAGCTGAAGGCTAGGTAATCAGCTGTGGTCTCTGAGATGTCAGTTTCATTCCTGATAGGAGGCCCTTAGCTGTCCCCCAGCAGGTGGCCAGTGCCTTGGTCCTATGTTCTTTCATTCAGCACTGTCCTTCACGAGGAGGCACGTGAGGAAGATCCTCTGGGATCAGATCCTCACATTTTCTGTTTCCATCTTATGTCCTGGGTAGTCAGAATGCCAAGCAAACAGGTAGCAGGTGGGGGCTCAGGAACCAATGCGCAAGTGGGCACTGGACCCCTCCTTTAAGAAGTCTGATTGCTACTCTAGTGAGGGGAGGCATCGAGGCAAGCAGGCAGAGTACCACCCTTAGGAATCAGGACCTGGATGTGAGCACAGGGTTCCAATCCAACTTCATTATCACTATCACTATCACTATCACTATCACTATCACTATTACTGGTACTGAAAATTAAAACCAGCCCCTTGAGCATATTAAGGAAGCGCTCTACTGCTGAGTGGTACCTCCATCTTCACTTACTTTACTTTGGGGCATGGCCTCTCTAAGTTGACCAGGCTAGCCTAGAACTCAGGATGCTCCTGCCTCAGCCTCTTGAGTAGCTAAAATGACACACTTGCCCCACTGTGCCTGGCTCAGCCAGCAACCTCTGATTCAGGGAAGGAGCCAGCAGTAGGGGAAGGAGGACCAAAGCCATGATGTCCCCTCCCACAGACATGCAGAGCCCTGTTGACTTCCTACTGTCTTAGGCTGGGAGTGGGGTACAGTTTTCCGAACAGAAAGGGTGGGTAGCTGCACACCCCCATTGCAGTACTGCTCCCAGGCATTAGGGTCCAAGACCCTGGGCCAGATCCTTGTGTGGAGCTGACCTCCTCCTGCTTAGTCCTTTGCGTTGTAGTCTAAGCTCCTTCCCAACTTCCCTCGCCCCACCTGGCCTGCCCTCGCCCACCGTGATAACAGTTGGCAAAGTGGAACCGCCTGGGTTCAAGGCGATTCACGTTTACTGTACCTTATGGAACTGACCTAACTCATGGCCTCAGTTTTCCCATTAGTAAAATAGGAACAACTGGAGTCTTTGCTGGGCTAGCCTGTAAAGGGATTAGGAGGCATGATGCCCTGACAGATTAATAGGATTGGAGCAGTGCAGGGAGGCCCGGGGCGCCACGGGAGTGCCACCCAAGGGTGACAGAGGATGGGAGGGAGGTGCCACTGGGTAGGGTAACGGATAGAGCCTTCCCTGGGGGAAGACTCCTAGGGCCAACCTCATGTCCTTCTCCACTCATGTCTCCAAAGGTTCTCAAGAAAAGAGTCACCATGATCCTGCCAGAGGCTAAGCCTCATCCTCAGCTTGGCTGGGTCCCATTCTTCTCAGGATTGAGAGAAGATTGGAGACTGGACACGGATTTCATACTGGGCAGGACCGTTGTGGCCAGAGACCTCCCACTGTGTCATCCAGGGAGCAGGCCCTTTGTGACTCTAGTTCCTCTTTCCTACATCCCAGCTTCCTACCCAGCCTGGTTAGTGCCTGTGGCTTCTGAAAAGCCAGTTCTCTCCCCTCAGTTCCCAACTGCCTCCCTGGGAGCCTCTCCTGACCTCTGGGCTGAGTCAGGTTCACTCTTCGCTGATCCCACAGCACCTTGTCCCTTCCTTCCGTGTGGAATCTGAGCCAGCCCGTGCCAGAGCCGGGCTGCTGCCACCAGCAGGATCCGCCCCCGCCTCCAGCTCCCCACATCACCCTGAGGGATCTTGAGGGTCAAAAAGGGGAAAGTCAATGAGAGGATGAGGGAAGGCACGGTGTTCTCACCTGACCCTGGTACTCAGAAGGACAAGGGGAGGGACAAGAAAGCACCCGGGAAGCTTTGGCCTTGCTTCCCGCAGGGCTCAGATATCTACACGTCTCTCACTCAGTGTTTGCCTTTTGTTTTTTTCTTTTTTTCAGTACCAGGAACCGAACTCATGACCTTGTGCTTGCCAGGCAGGCGCTGTGCCGCTGAGCTAAATCCCCAGCCCCTCACTCAGTGTTTTCCATCCCATCTGTGTGGCCCGGGTCCTGCCAGGCCCCCATCAGGCTGAGACACTTGCCCCGCAGCCTAGGAGAGATTTGCCCTCTCTGGAGAACAACTTCCTGTCTCCCTCCCAGCACAGCGGACCCTGGGGGATATTCAGGGTAGGACAGCGCCCCAGCTCCCCAGCACCTGCCCTGGGATTATCATGGGGTGGGCATGAGGAGCCGGGCCTTCTCTGTTCAAAGATGGAAGCCCGCTGAGATGCCACATTTCTGGCTGGTCCCCAGGGGGACAGGATATAGTTAACAGGGCAGGGATGGGGAGGTGGGGCCCCCAAGAGTCTACCCTCATTGTAGCCAGATTAGCACTGGGCTAGGAATTCTTAGGACCTAAATCTGGTTCCGTTTCAATACCCTGGAGGACCCCCCCCCCCACTGTCCCTTTTGGATTCTCCTGCACCTGTGCCACCATTGAACTGCTCACATTCACAAGACAGAAGGACGCAAGAGGGCTGCAGCAGCCCCTGTCCAGGTTGGGCAGTGGCCCAGGTAAGGGGCAGGAAAGCTAAAAGCTACTCCATCCTGCAGAGACTTACTTTGCCCGGTTCCCTCAGAGTCCAGAACCTGCTCACTCCCTGCTGTTATCCTACTACCCCACCCCAAAGAGGGAGCTGTGGGGCTCAGTCCTGGTCCCAGCTGGTGCCCACATCCCTGCAGGACCCAGGCCCAAGCTCTGTCCTGTTGCCAGGGGAGCAGCTGGACTGAGCGCAGAGCCTCAGAGAGGGGGAAATGGACTCTTTCCTGTGCCTGAACTCGGCCAGAGCGCCCCCCCGGGATCTGGAGGGCCAGAGGCCCAGGGCGGCCCCTCCACCCCTGCCTATTGCCCAGCTGGGCCCTGGGTGTGTGTGTGTGTGTGTGTGTGACTAAAGCCCCTGGGGCTGGCAAGGATGAAGGGTGGGGGGCTTAGCAGCTATTCCAGACAACTGAAATCAAATCGGCTCAACCACAGCATACAGGTCAGGAGGGGACACAAACTGGGGATGCTAAACCACACAGAAATGAACAAAATGAGGAAGAGGGGTGTGTGGGAGGGCTTGGGGCTGGGGGCAGAGGGGATGAAGGGAAAGAAGGAGCAACGAGGCGGGCAGATGAACCAGAAAAGTTGTGTGTGTAGGGGGTGGAGTGAAGAAAACCAAAGGACAAACCAGGAAACACAGCTCGGCAGCTCATTTTGGAGAAAGTGCAAAGTTACGAATGAGTCATCACTAAAAAGAAATAAAGTAAAGGAAAGAGGAAGAGAAAAACCAACCAGAGCGAGGTTGGGAGAGAGAGAGAGAGAAAGAGAGAGAGAAAGAAAACCACATTCAAACCAAGCAGCGTGGCGGGGCTTATCTGAGATGGGAGCGAGCGCACAGCGGAGCTGGGATACCTACCTTCTCAGTGGTCAGGGACAGGAGTGCGATAATAAAAAAGAAAACAAGTCTCCGCATTGGGAAGGCAGGGTGGGGCAAAGACAGCGCTTGAAGCTGCACTCCCCCTCCGAGCTGGTGGATGGGCAGCTGGGGTGAAGCATGGCTTTGACCTCGGGGATGAGAGGGAGCTCTTGCCCAGCCATTTCTGTTCGCTCTTTAATTTGTTTTCTAAATTTTTTAAACCACAGGTTCCAATAAGCCAAGCTTTCCTTATTATTATCATTTTTAAAACAACAGAAACCCTCCAGAGGGCATGCAGGAAGCGGCGGCGGATGGAAGCAGAACCGCAGGTGGCTAAAGAGAGGCTGGGAGCATGGGGGAGAGGCCCATGTCAGGGAGGGAGATGGAGCGGGAGAGAGACAGAGAGAGAGAGACGGAGAGTGAGACAGAGACAGAGACGCAGAGAGAGACAGAGACAGAGAGACACAGACAGACACAGAAAGGCAGCGAGACAGACAAGTAGACCCAGACAGAAAAGGAGAGAAAAGCTGTTTAAACAAGACCCGTTGGAGCGGACAGATGGGCTGCTGGGAGGGGAACTGCATTTAAAAGGGAAGACAACCACCAGTGCAGCTTGGAGGGTGGCTCCTGCCTCAGATCAGCCCCACCTGCTTTCCACATAATTTGAGCAAAATTACTATATTATTATTATTATTATTACTTGTCCTGAGGATTGAACCCAGGGCTTTCATGTGGAGCCTCATCTCCAGCCCCCTCCTTTATTTTTATTTTGAGACAGGGTCTTGCTAAGTTGCTAAATTGCCCAGGCTGGGCTCCAACGTGCCATCCCCCTGCCTCAGCCTCCCAGAGTACTTGGAATTACAGGCACGCACTGCTGTGCCTGGTTGAAACTCATCCCTTTTGCCTTCTGGGAAACAGGGGCGCACCCTGGGGGAAATGCCAGGCTGCCCCTCCTGCTGTGACTGCCCTGCTGCAGCTGTGGCCACTGTTTCTTCCTGGAGCAGGGGAGGGGAGCCCAGTGGCAGACTGGGAGCAGCATAGCACCCCTTCTCCAGGTCACACTAGGGCGCCTGTTAGGTGATGAAATCTAGGCCCGAGACAGCCCAGGGGTTCTGCTCATGAGCCTTCTCTGCCATTGTCACCAAGAGCCCTACCACCAAGTGCACTCTGTCCCCTCCTGACACTCCTGATCCTGAGGACAGTGGAGCATAGGCCGGGGACCCTTCTTCTAAGAGGGCAAACTCTACGTGCTGGGGCGAGGTTAGCACGTGTTTGTGCTCACAGGCTGCAGGGAGGCCACCAAAGGTTCTGGGTGACACTAGATGGAGAGACCTTTCTGGTCAGCCTTCTTCTTTTCAGCACTGGAGGTTGAACTCAGGGTCTCACACTCAACTACACCCCTGTTCCTTACTTGTCTTATTATTTTGAGACAGGGCTTCACTAAATTGCCAGGCTGGGCTTTAACAGGACGATCCTCCTGCCTCAGTCTCTCCCGAGTAGCTGAGATTATAGGTGAGCACCACTATGCCATCCCAGCATTTTGTTCTTTCACTGTGTGGCCTTGAGCAGTTCCCTTCCCTTGCTGTGCCTCATTGCTCTTTTCCCCGTGTGTCAGTGAACTGTGAGGGCTCAGGGCTCCCTGCGTTGCTGAGGCATAGAGGGGGCGCCTGTAACCCGGCCTCTCACTGTGGGCAGGCCCTGGCCCAAGGAGCCGAGAAAGCTGGTAGCATGCCACAGACATCCAGAGATCAGACCAGCATTCTCCTCTTCCCAAATACTGCCCCCTGCTTAAAGATCTTGAAATGTGTTTTCTTTCCATTTGCCACTTCCCCATAGAGGGTCCTGAGGTTAAAGGGCTGCAGTCTGCTTATTTTTTTTGTCTTTTTGAGACAGGGTCTCATTATGCAGTTCAGGCTGACCTTGAGCTCACTTTGTAACCCAGGCTAGTCTTGAACCTACAACGATTCTCCTGCCTCAGCCTCCCAAGTGCTGGGACTACAGGAATGCACCACTACGCCCAGCTGGGGTCTGCTTTTGATCCATCTCTAAAAAACTGTGTGACCTTGAGCCAGTCACTTGCCCTCTCTGAACTGCAGTTCCTCCTTTTTTAAGCAACAGAACCTGGAAAGCCCTTTGGAGTTCGTTTTAGATTTTTTTGGAGGTAGGTGGGGAGTCACCACATCACTGGCCTGCCTCAAGGCTGGGGTGGCATTTTTCTCTCACCTAGAGTACCTGGATTAGAAGTCTTTACCTGAGTTAAGCCTTCTCAGGCATCTTTAGGTCTCTGCCAGGTGCTGAGGCCAACATGAAGGGGCTGAGCAGGCTGTCCTTGTCCCTGTCCCCACCATGCTTAGCCATGTTATACTAAACTCATTAAGGAGTCACGGCAAGATCCACAAAGCTCCCTGAGTTACCCAGTGCAAGTGGCCAACCATTGTCCCCTGGGGCTCCCAAATTCTTGCTAAAGTTCTTCATAGTGAGACTCTGAAGCACCAATTTGGTTAATTTAAAAGTTGAGGCAGTTCCAGGGCCTGCCCTGCTGATTTGGCAGGAGTTATTGGTGTGGATGCCATTTCTGTTTAAAGCCATCTTCCCTTTTAAATTCTGATTACCAAGGGAAAAAGGTAAGTATAGAGAGATATGGATATGATTCATGTTCACTTGAAATTCAAAACCCATCTCTGCAATAGGAAGAAAGTTTCCCACAGTAACACACACACAAAAGCAAAATTCTAGAACAACACAGAAGAGAGGAAAAAAACCCCAGAGAGATAGTTTGCATTTCTGTACATTACAAAAGGGGGAAAAAAAAACTATGAAAGGGAAAGGAAATACAAACAAAAACAAAATAACAGGAAAAAAATGACACAAACTTCCCCACCCTCTTCCCTTGCCGGCTAAACAAGAAATGGAATCACAATATTACCACGTTTCAAATGGGAGGCTAAAAAACAAACAAAAACATAGACGGGGTTAAAAATGTTGAGCTTTTCTTTTTTTCGTTTGTTTCTCTCTCTTTTTTTTTTTTCTTTTTCAAAAGATAGTGTCCAAGAATACCACCCCCAGTATTTTTTTCCCAAAGACATTATTTTTTGTCAGTTGCGAAGTCAGTGATACCCAGGTCGCTCATGTCCCCTCCCTGGCCTAATGTAACTCCTCTGAATGTCATTCAGGCAAAGAGGGGATGGAGCACAGGTTACAGACCCGGGATGTTCAAGGTCACAGATCTCCCAGGGTCCAAGGGTTAGGGATGCGTTGTAGAACCAATGCCCGGAGAAAGGAGTAACAGACCGAGGGCTATTTCCTGGAAAACTCCCGGGGCCCTGTCAAAGTGGGGTCCCTTTTTGGACGGGTGAGAAGTCATTTTGAGACACCTGCCCTAACAAGGGCAGATTATCCCCCTCCAGGTCAGGGAAGGGACTTGCTCTCCCCACTGGCTTGAGAGAACCTGTGTTTTTGTCTCTCTCTGGAGGCCCCAGGCTGAAGGGATGCTGAGAGGTGTTTGGGACCTGAAGGCTCTCTGCCCAGCTGAGTGGAGTCACCACACTTTCTTCTGGGTTTGCCCATCAGCTCCAGCTCCCTGCCACGGCTTCCCTCAGCTATCCTGTGTGCCCTCTTCTAATCCCAGGACAGACTCAGGGACATCACTGTGATCCTCCCCACGTGGCCCAACCACGGTGCCAGGAACCAGGAGCCAGGAGCCACCCTAGGAGCTGGCGCCTTTTCCGAAGGGGGAATGTCCTCCAATTAAAATTAACCTCGAGCCCAAGAACCTTTTGTCAGCTGCCCTTGACTTTCCTCTCTGAGGCCATGGGGGTAAGGATATTTGAGAAAAGAAAAGGAGTAAAAGGAAACCAGCAAAAATCAAAATGAAACTGACCAGCACGTACAAGTTCACTGCTGTGACCTAAGGGCTGGGAGGGGCGGCTCCCCTCTCCTGGCTGAAGCTTCTGGGGACAACCTGGAGGCCTGGAGAGGAACCTGCCAGCCTCCCCACCCAAGGCTCTACGTCCACCCAGTGCCCCTGCCAGCACTGCAGCCCCCCTCTCTGCGGGGTCTCAGTCCTGCACTCTGGTCAGCAGACAGAAGGGCTCTCGGAACCCCGAGTCCTCACCCTGACCGACCATCAGCCTGGGGAAAGGCTGGGAAGCCACCTTCCTCTGCCAGCTCTTGGTCACCGACCTGTCTATGGCTCTGGAGGTGGCAGCGTTGTGGGCAGTGTGGTGTGCAGCCCCAACCCGGCTTAGATGGGAGTGGACACACAGGGTGGTCCCCTCGGAGGGCCAGGCCGTGGGCAGTGGAGCGCCAGCTCTGGGACACATGTCTAAGTGAGGGCAGGACAGAGTCTCTGCGGAGCAAGGACTTCAGAAACACAGCTCTTCGGCACCGCGGGGACTGGGAGGGGGCGGGGACCTGGGAAAGGGGAGGAGACCTGGGAAAAGGGGAGGGGCCGGTAGGAGGGTGGGAGAGGGGAGGGTCTCAGAGAAGGAGCAAAGACTTGGTGCGCAGAGGGAGACTCAGGGCCCACTGGCGCCCAAGGGAGCTCCTATCTCTCGACTCCAGTTCCTGACTCGACTCCCACCGACGTCCACGTCCAGCTAATATCCCCGGGGCGGGGGAGGCAGGAGGAGACCAAGGTCTCTTCCCAGCTCCGCACCCAACTAAGTGTCCCAGTGGTCAGCCCCTCTCTGGCCTCCGTTTGCCAAGCTGGAGGGTGGCCCAAGCCTGCCGGCCGCCCCCTCACCTCGCCGCTAGGGCCAGGTGGGCGCAAACCACCGAGCCCTCCTTGCGACTCCCCTGTGAGCGGCGAGCGCAGGGAGGGGGAAGCGACCCGGCCCTCCGGCGCCCCGGCCCTCCGGCGCCCCGGCCCCCTGCTCGGCGCGGGAACCCTCCGCAAAGCGAAGCGTACGTACATCGGGCGGGCTGTGCGCCGAGCCCGGGCGGCCCCCGTGCGCTCCGCTCCGCTGCCTGCTGCCGCCGTTCTGCTGCGGAGACCCCCATCCGCTGCCGCCCGACGGGGAAGGCGACCGGCTTCCGCTGGACCGCTGGCTGCCCGTCTTCCGCCCGTCGTCTCGACGCTTGGGGCTCAGCCTGGCCGGGGGGCGGGAGGATGGGGGAGCCCGCGTGGGACGCCCCCTCTGCAGGCGACGGGGACAGACCCCCCCACACGTCCCTTCACTGCCTCGACCTCCTATCCAGGATTTGGGGAGCCTCGGGGAGCTCTTCCTCCAGGTGGGCACCAACGTAGTAAACTTCTCCCCACGGATTAACTGACCTTCTGTCCATCAGCCCGCCTCCCCAGCCCCTGGGGTGCTTAATCTGCAACCCCCTCCAGGCAAACCAAGAAACACACCAATAAACCAAGCAACCAACCAACCGACCAAAAAGGGCTGATCAGAAGCACAGCTTTAGCTGTTTCCGGGCCCAGCCTACCTGCTGGGTGATCCAGAGTCACTGCAGTGGGAGGACAGCGAGGGGCTGTGGGAACTGCCGCTACTGTGACGGTGGGACCTCCGGCCTGGGGACTCTGTGTGAGGCCTGGTGTGGGGGGGAGATCAACCTGGAGTTACCTGACCTGCCTCTGGGATCATGAAAGCCTGTTGGAAGTCACTTCCGGTCCCGCCCCCACCCCCTAGTTTCCTACACAGGGACCTTAAATGGGGCTGGGGCTGGGTGCACTACCCAGCTGGTCCCTCAGGTCATCTGAGGCTGGGGATTTAGCTCAGCGGCAAAAGTGCCTGCCTGGCAAGTGCAAGGTCGTGAGTTCGGTTCCCGGTACCAGAGAAAAACCTCAGGTCATCCGTCAGAGTTAGGAGGAGCCTTTTTCTCTGGACAGCTCCAACTTTGGAATCCCTCATCGCCTGGGGCTCTCAAGCCTGGTGGTGATGGGGCAGGAGAGTCACTAAGACCTAGCTGGAAACGACCTCAGGCGGCGAGGCAGGGGGCCTGGGTTCCAGTTTCAGCTCTGCCTCTGGCTTCCCCAGGGCTCCTGACTTCCTCTTAGGGTCTTAATTTTTCCATCTGGGCAAAGTGGACACAACAAGAGAGCTATGTTTGAGGGTCTGATTCTGGGGTGCTAAAAGGCTGGGGGTCCTGTTGGAGGGTGTGGGGAGGGTGCTTACCTCTTCCTCTCTTTGTTCTTCTCTTTTCTTTTGCTCTTGGGGCTTCGAGATCTGCAGGAAGCAGAGACCACAGTAATGGGACAGTCTGAACAGGGCAGGGGGAGATGTGGCCTTGGAGCCCTGGAGCTGAGCTGTGCCCCAGTGTGGACTTGAGCTTTGTTCCTCCCTCAGGCTGGAGCCTCCTGGCTGCCAGGGACCTGCCCGACCTCACCCCGGAGGGTGCGGCCAGGCTCCAGAAGGCAGGGGAGAGGTGATTTTTGCAGATGTGACACCCTCAGGCCTTGTCTGGCTGGACAGAAAAGCTGATTTTCGACAGGCTTCCTGATGAGCTACTGTGGGAGGTGGCCCCTCCACACCTGGTTCAACCCCTGTGCCCCTTCGTCTCAGCCCACGACTCAGCCCTGGGCCAGTTCATCAGAGTTGGGGAAAGAAATACTTATTCTTGGGGCTGGTCTCCTGCTTCTGAGTGACTTTTCTGGAAGGATCCAGATTTGTGGTTTCCCCGAAGTGGCCACCCTATCCCACACAGCTCTCGGGCAGGCTGTGCACCCCAGCACCTTCCGCCTTTGATGGAATGATTGAAATGCTTCTGATTAGGCGTGAAAGGTCTCCCCTGCCCCAGGCCCTTCCTGATGTCACCTCTTACTACATCCTCCCTGGTGCCACCAGATCCCTTCAAGTCTTTTTGATGCCAAAATGAAGCAATGCAAAGAAACACTGAGATATGCTTCCCACAGGAGCAGAGCGAAGGGGCGGGCAGGCCTGGGAGGCCAAAGGAGCTCGTGTTGCCTGCTTTGTGCCTCAGTTTCCCCAGGGCCTTTGTGTAGTCCTAGCTTGCTTCTAGGTCCTCTCTGCAGGACTCAGTGATGTAGGCCTGAGGGTCTGTGAGAGCTCATGGTGACCACTGGGTGGCAGTATGGGCCCACGCGGACCCATAGGCACTGGGGATGGGGAAAGGAGGGGCAGGTTTAGGGGTTTATTTAGACTCTTATCCTAGCTGGCAAAAGGCACCGGGGACTCTGCCCCTCCTCAGAGCTGTTGGGAGGGGGTCTGACCCTGAAGCCAGCCATGGGGATGTGATTACCCCACAACTTCTGTACCCTCATTCTGACTTTCACAGACTCCCCCTGCTTCCCTTTGGCCAACCTGGCCTCTGCCAGGCCACTCCCCTCCTCATCTCCCATCCCCCAACCTGCCCTGAATAAGTCACTGTCCTTCCTGGTTAAAGCCCCAGGGGGTGCAGGCCCGGAGGCCGGTTTCATAGTCGGACAGTCAGGCCTGTCAGAGGTTGGCACCAGCCCACCCCCTGAAATTCTACTGCTACCCCAACCTACTTTCCCTTTTACCAACTGAGCCCCCAGCTGTTGCCTGGCATGCCCCGTCCCCCCAAACTTGGTGTCCTGGTGCTTGTGCCTTCCCAGATGGCACCTTCATAGGTACCGTCCTTCTGGACACTTGGTTTCCATGGGGCCCCCACATCGGGGCAGACTTCTGGGACAAGCAGGGGTTGGGACCGTTGGTCTGCATGCTCCTCCTCTCTCTCCTGCCCGGCTCAGTCCCTGGAGTCGGAGGACAGGGCTGGGCCAGACTGCCACACCCCCTTCCTGTCATTGCTTCCTGTGGGCTTTGATCCCTGGAGGGAACCACTGGCTTCTGTCCACCTGCTCCGCAGAGAACTGCTCACCTGTGCCGTCTCTTCCTCCGGGACCCAGAATTGGACCTGTAGGGTGATAAAGGAGTTCTCATGAGCTTGCCTGCGTAGCCTGGGGGACACCAGTGGACCTGAGAGTCCTGGGCCCGCGGGAGTGAGAAGAGGCCACAAGGGAGGGAGGGCGCAGCGGGTACCTGTCTCGGCGGTGCTTCTTCACGCTCTTCTTCTTCTTGCGCAGGGGTGAGGCACTCCCACAGCTGTGGACACAGGAGGAAGCAGCTCGAGTGAGCTGGGGTGTCAGGGAGCAGCTGGAACAGCTGGAGAAGCCTGAGGGCCTGGGCTACGGAAGCTGAGGAGGGGATTTCAGAGCATGGAGCCCAGAGTGACCTGGGACCCAAGGATGTGATAGCGAAGTCCCTAAGGGAGCCTGATGGCCCTCAGTCACCTTCCAAGTCCCTCGTCACTATTCAAACCCGCAGGGTAGAGGCCCCAGTGGTGGGATTTCCGGCCTCAGTGGTAAAAGCCGATCAAATGGGGGTGTCCAAAGTGCAGGCCCTGAGGTGCCAGGCTTCCTGCTTCTGGGGGACTGCCTCAGAGTGTCTCCCACCCAGAGGCCCCCGGGCCCTGCCCACCCCCGTACCTCCATCACTGACCTGCACCCCGACTCTAGTCTCCTCTTTTTGCTGACGGTGAATGCCAGGGAGGAAGAAGGACAGATAGGTGGGCAGGATTAGTTGGGGCCCCAGGGTCTCACTCAAGATAGGGGAGGGGGACACAGGGATGGGGGAGTTACAGGTGAGACCCTTCGAAGCCCCCCTGGAGGGCACTCATACTTGTGAAGAGTGCAGAACCCCTGCTACGGCAATACAAGGTAACACAGGGGTTGACCAGTGTCCAGTTCTGGGGTCCTCCCCAGTGAGGGGAGGGGTCTTAGTAAAGAGGAGGGGCTTAGTGAGGGGGAGACCAGGAAAATGAGGCGCTGAGGGGAGGGCACTAAGTTGAGGGGCGGGGAATCAGGAAGGGGCGGGGCCGAATGGGAGGCGGGTCTCTCAGCAGCTTCGGTGCTGCCCCCTGCCGGCCAAGGACGAGCACCCCCGGGACCCGTCCGGCCTCTCCCACCCACCCATCCGGCCCTGGGCCCTCTCACCGGCTTCTCCGGTGGCCGCCTTTCTTTTTCTTCTTCTTCTTGGGAGGGGGCGACGCCGAGCTGCTGGACCAGTGCTTGGTCCTGGGCGAGAAGGGGCGCGGACGGTGAGGGGGCGGCCCCGCGCTCCTGTCACCCCCGCCGCGGCGGCGCTCACCTGTATTCCCGGTGCCCGCGGTAGCAGGCGGCCGGGCAGTCGCAGTCCACCGGGCCGTCGTCCTCGTCGTCGTCCTCGTCGAAGGGCGCGTACTCCAGGCCCGGCTCGGCGCCCTCGGTCGGCCGCGGGGTCTCTGCCACGCTGCCGGCAACAGGGACGCTGACCACCCGCCTCGGCCGGGCCTCGGGGTCCTCGCTTGGGGCGGAACTGGGGGGTCTGCGGCCCCAGCCCTGGAGACTCGGAAACCCCATGGCCCCGATTTCGGGGACAACGTTTTGCAGAAGGGCAGGAGGAGTATTCACGGCCCGTTCTGCCCTCGCTCCTTCCCACTTCTCCCCTCTCGGGGACGCCTCCCCCTAGCAGCCCCCTTCCTCACCGACTGCCCTCCATCTCGCGCCCATTCATGTACCCCTCCCGCTCACGGAGCCCCTCGTGTCCCTTAACCCCTTGCACCCATCCGATCCCCTCCCAGACCCCCTCCCCTCCCCTGGCTTGGCCCTTCCTCTCTGCTCTGCCTCCCCCCACCCACCCCGCTGTGCGCCACCTCTCCCCCCTTTTCCTCCAGCCCTCGGCCTGAGCTTCTGAAATATTCATCGCCTCCCCTCCCCGCCCTCCCCTCCGCAGCCTCCCGAGGCCTCGTCGCTCATCTCGCTGCCTGCAGGGCTGTCTTCATCAATCACAGCCGTGCGCGCAGGGAGCGGGCCTCGCACTCCGCCGCCTCCCACTCCCCATCCGTCTGCGAAGTCTGAGCTTCACTCAGCGGGTACCGCGCTCCCGGTCCCCGCTCTGGCTTTGGATCCCCAGCTATCTTCTGGCCCAGATGTTTGTCCCTTCAGACCCTTCTCAGAGGGCTGCTTGATTTTTTAAAATTTTATTTTTGATTTTTATTTTTTCCCCTAGCAGCAGCTGCCCTAAGTCAAGAGCATGGGCTTTGTCTTTTTGAGACAGCCGTTCCATGTGCAGTTCAGGCCGGCCTTGAACTTACTTTGTACCCCAGGCTGGCCTTGAACTCACGGCAATCTTACTGCCTCAGCCTCCTGAGTTCTGGGATTACAAGCATATGCAAGAGCATAGGCTTTGAAGCCTCAGACCAATCTTTTTTTTTTTTTTTTTTTTTTTTTTTT